CGTCGACTTTGCTGCTCGCTGTCGCTTAGACTACGCTGCTAGTCTTGTCGCTGAGTCTGAGTCAGTCTGTCCTCCGTCCGTCGGGGGTGAGTGTGTCCTTGGCACGGACGTCCTTGAGGACAGGCAGGAGGATTTCCAGTGTCTGGCAGCTGCTTCACCTCATCTCGTGTCCGTACTGCTTACCCCTGAGGGAGACCCGGATGCACTTGACATCCCGACTCTGCGCTCTTACGCGGAGGCGATAGAGGGTCCCTACTCCTCTCAGTGGCAGGCAGCTATGGATGCAGAGATGGCTTCCTGGAAGTCCACAGGCACCTACGTTGACGCTGTCCCCCCTCCTGGGGCCAACATCATCAGTGGCATGTGGATCTTCATGGTGAAGCGGCCGCCGGGTTCTCCGCCTGTCTTCAAGGCGCGTTACGTGGCTCGTGGCTTCAGTCAGCGGCAGGGAGTTGACTACTTTCAGACCTTCTCCCCCACCCCGAAGATGACCACTCTTCGGGTACTGCTGCACATTGCTGCTCACCGTGACTACGAGCTCCACTCTCTCGACTTCAGCACAGCTTTCTTGCAGGGCAGCCTACACAAGGAGATCTAGCTGCGCCGCCCACCTGGCTTTGCTGGGTCGTTCCCTCCTGGTACCCAGTGGAGTCTCCGGCGTCCAGTCTACGGTCTCCGCCAGGCGCCACGTGAGTGGCACGACACACTGAGGACTACGCTTGCGGCTCTTGGGTTTGCTCCTTCTACTGCCGACCCGTCGCTGTTTCTGCGCACTGACACCTCTCTGCCGCCGTTCTACATCCTCGTGTACATCGACGACTTGGTCTTTGCCACAGCTGACACTGCTGGACTCGCCTACGTGAAGTCCGAGCTGCAGAAGCGACACACGTGCACAGACCTGGGTGAACTGCGCAGCTACCTTGGCTTGCAGATCACCCGGGACAGAGCACGCCGCACCATTATCCTGACTCAGTCACACATGGTGCAGCAGGTCCTTCAGCGCTTCGGCTTCACGTACTCCTCGCCTCAGGCCACTCCTCTGCCTACTCGCCACTCACTCTCAGCTCTGCCTTCGGATGAGTCCGTAGAGTCGAGTGGCCCGTACCCAGAGCTTGTTGGCTGCCTCATGTACCTGATGACCTGCACACGACCTGACCTTGCATACCCTCTTAGCATTCTTGCACGCTATGTTGCTCCTGGGAGACACCGACCAGAGCACATGGCTGCAGTGAAGAGGGTGTTGCGCTACTTGTGCAGTACGTCGGGCATGGGGCTAGTGCTTGGAGGGCGGAGTCCAGTGGTCCTCACTGGGCACGCAGACGCTTCTTGGGCTGACGACCAGGCTACGCAGCGGTCGTCACAGGGTTACACCTTCAGTCTTGGTTCCGACTTTGTTTCGTGGCGGGCTACCCGCTCGTCTTCTGTTCTCGGCTCCAGTTGTGAGGCTGAGATCTACGCCGGGGCTATGGCTCCCCAGGAGCTTCGATGGCTCACCTACCTGCTGACCGACCTTGGAGAGCCGCCTCGTTCTCCTCCAGTCTTGTACGTAGACAACAAGGCCATGCTGGCCTTGTGTCGAGAGCAGCGACTGGAGCACAGGACAAAGCACATTGCTCTCCGTTACTTTCTTGCTCGTGAGCTACAGCATCGTGGACAGTTGCGGCTTGCGTACGTGGCCTCTGAGGCCAACACTGCTGATGTTTTCACCAAGGCACTTGCGCCTTGTGATCATCAGCGCTTCTGCACTCAGCTGGGTCTTGTGCCTGTCTTGCCTCACTTGCTCACTTCTTGACCTTGCTTGTACTGTCACATATATATACTCCTGCTCTTGCTTGCTTAGCCTCGTATATATATATATATATATGTGCTCTTGCATGTGAACTGGCCTTTTGGCCTTTGAACTTGTGCTCGGAATGTGTGGTGACTTTGTGATCCACCCTGAGCTTTGCTTTGCTTTGCTTGACTGGTCTTGTGACCCCTTGTTCTCCCCCACTTTGCCTATGGGGGTGTGTCAGAACATTATAGCTTATGCTATTGTGTAGGCTATAGTGGGGTATCCCATAGGGGGTACAACCCAACTAGGGTTTCATATTTGTACTCGCTTCATTCATAGTTCACATTCATTCTTGTTCTAATTTCCTCAGAGGGGCGGCGACGGGGCCGCGAAGGGGCCGCGAGGGGCCTAGAGGGGCGGCGACGGGGCCGCGAAGGGGCCGTGAGGGGCCTAGAGGGGCGGCGACGGGGTCGCAAAGGACGGCGACGGGGCCGCTAAGGGTGGCGCGAGGGGCCTCTAGGAGGGCGCGACGTGAGGGCGGCCTACGGGGCGCGCCTCGGGCAGGAAAATAAGATCGAGTTAGGTGGTGGGCCCTGAGAAGCGTTCCCACGAGGGAACCTGCTCTATACCATGTGAAGAATGAGGAATGAATGAACTAGCAAGCAGGTGGGTACAAGTAGGAAAACCTAGAAATGTTGTACCCCATATAGTCTACCCCACTACAGCCTACACAGACTATAGCATATAAGTTTGACACATTGCACCGAACAGAAGGATGGGGGAAGACGAGGCGCATGTGTTGGATGCCGAGTGGTCAAAAGAAGAGGTTAGGCAATCTCTCAAGGACATGGCGGTGGGAAAGTCCCCCGGGGCTGATGGGGTCCCGAAAGAGTTTTTCAGCCACTACTGTGACCAGCTGGGGGGCAATCTTCTCAGCTTCGTGAAGGGTTTCGAAGGGATGGCGGCCCTCCCTCCTTCGACGTTGGAAGCCGTCACTGTCCTGCTGCACAAAAAAGGAGCGAAGGATAAGATTCACATCTACCGGCCCATTACGCTTCTCAACAGCCCATACAAGATGGTGGCCCGTATTCTAGCAAACAGAATTAGGAAGGTGTTGCACAAGGTCATCTCAGGGGAGGGTATGGTGTTTTGCCGGGAAGAAGACTCTCGGATGCGGTCTCGCTAGTTTCCGATGTCATTGATACGGTGAAGAACAAGGATGTGTGGTATCTCCTGCTGGTAGACTTCCGAAGGCCTTCGATTCTGTCTCGCGGGAGTATCTTGCGGATGGGGTTCTTGCGGAGGTTCGTGGGCTGGTGCAAGGGTCTTCACGAAGGCTCAGCGACGCGGCTGTTACTCAACTGCTGGCTGAGGGAGCGCGCGGAGGTACGGAAAGGCGTATGGCAGGGCCGTTCGCTGGCGCCTTATCCGTTCCTTTGCGCGGTGGAGCCCATCTGCCAAGAAGCAAAGAGAAGGAAGCTGGGAATTAGCAATCCGGATGGCGAGAGGCTGGCATACCCGGGGTATGCCGACAACATGATAGTGGTGCTTAAGGGGATAAGGCAGATTGGTCGCGCGGTTAAGTTCCTGGAGGATTTCGACGCGAAGTCGGGGTTGCATGTGAACAAGGAAAATTCCGCGCTTCTCCTGTTGGGCAAGAATCTGTGGCGGATACCAGACAAAAGTTAGTTTTCAAATGAGTGCTTCCAAACGAGGCGGAGAGGTTGCTGGGGGTGTGGGTCTCACCTTTAGGGGACGCGGCAGTGATATCAAAATCACCCTGGTGCGGGCGACTACGAAGTTTGTGAAATGGCAGGTCCACTTCCCAACCACCACGGTGATGGTTGTAGTTGTCAACGGTTATGTCAACCTAGTCCTCACCTTCCAGGGGCAAGTGCACCCTCTACCGACGGAATATGGGCGATAAAAGTGCATAATTTTGTCACCGATAATCACGCGATGGCGGGGACGCACTTCGCCCTCTGGAGTCAGGTGCTGATGTTCAAGCCAAGATGTGAGGGAGGGCTCGGGGTGTCAGAACTATGCATTCATATGCTCTAGGCTGTAGTGGGGCACTTCTTATGGGGTACAACCCAATTAGGTTTTGCATACACAAACCCTGTACTGCTGTCATTCTAGTCATTCTTGATTCCTACTTTCTGACATGGTTTCAGAGCAGGTTCCCTAGTGGGAACGTTTTTTTAGGGCCCACCACAATAGTTTTTCCTGCCCTGCCTGAAGCGCGCCTCGCACCTGCCTCACCTGCGCCGTCGCGCGCCTTGCCCTACTACCGCCAGAAGCGGCCCTGCCCTTCCGGCCCGTCGCGGCCTTGCCTTAACGGCCCGTCACGGCCCTGACCTAGCCGCACGTTGCGGCCCTGCCCAGTTGCCGTCCGTCGCGGCCTGACCTAGGCGCCCGTCGCAGCCTGACCTAGCCGCCCGTCGCGGCCCTGCCTTGCCGCCACCCATCGCGGCCCTGCCCTCAGCCGCTCGTCGCGGCCCTGCTCTACCGCCACCCCGTCGCGGCCCTGCCCTGCAGCCGCCTTGTCGCGGCCCTGCCCTGCTGCCGCCCCGTCGCGGCCCTACTCTACCGCCGCCTTGTCGCGGCCCTGCCCTGTTGCCGCCCCGTTGCGGCCCTGCTCTGCCGCCTCGTCGCGGCCGTGCCCAACCCGCCAGTTGTGGCCCTGCCCTGCACCCACCCCTGGTAAGCGCCCGCCCTGCCAAGCGCGCCGCTGCGCCCACCTGCCTCTCGAGCCGCGCCGCCCAGCCGAGCCGCACCGCCTAGCCGAGCCGCGCCGCCCTGCCGAGCAGCGCCGCCCTGCCGAGCCGCGCCGCCCTGCCGAGCTGCGCCGCCCTGCCCTACTGCTACTGCTGCTGCTACTGCCGCCATGGCTAGCCCTACTGTTCTTACATTGGATGCTGAGGGTCGTGAAGTTGATTTCGAAGTTTGGGTAGATGACCTGCAGCTCTATCTTCAGTGCGACTCTAGGGACGGAGTCTCGCTTTTTTATCACACGTCCGGAACCTCTGTTGCACCTGCTGCCGATGGTGACAGTACGGTTCGCTCGCACTGGACTACTCGTGACGCTGTTGCTCGCCTTGCTATTCGTAGTCACCAGCCGTCTGCTGAGCGCGCGCACTTTGGCTAGTACAAGACTGCTAAGTCTTTGTATGACGCTGTCGTCGCACGCTACTCCTCCCCTGCCACTGCTGCCCTCAGCCGCCTCATGTTGCCGTACTTGTTCCCTGACCTGGCCGCCTTTGCAACAGTAGCTGACCTCATCACTCACCTCCGCACTAATCACACCCGCTACAACGCTGCGCTTCCCTCCGAGTTTCGCGCCAAGAAACCCCCCCCCATGTACATCACCCTCTTCTACCTCGTCACCTGTCTCCCTGACTCTCTTCGCTCAATCAGGGACCACTTTCTCTCCCTTTGCCCCACCGAGCTCACTGTCGACTTGCTCGAGGAGCACCTCACTGCAGCTGAGACTAGCATAGTCACTGTAGGAGCTTCTCGCCGTGACCCTCGCGCCCCTTTCCTTGAGGGGTGTTCCCCCGTTCCCCTTTTGCTCTCTGTTGCTTCTGCTGCTGCTATCGACCTCGTTGGCACCGAGGAGGTCGGGGCTGCGTCTGCTCCTAGTGGAAGGTGCCGCAACGGCAAGGGCAAGGGGGGCAAGGGTGGTGGAGGGGACGGCGGGGGCAGCGGTGGTGGCGGTGGAGGAGGCGGAGGGGGTGGGGGTGGGGTGGGGGTGGTGGCGGGAGTGGGAGCGTCAGTGGCGGCGGTGGAGGTGGGGGCGGCAGCGGCAGCGACAGTGGGGGTGGCGGCGGCGGTGGTGCTGGTCGGGGTGGAGCTGCGCAGCATGGAGGCTTTGGTGGTAGCCAACGACAGCAGCAGCCGCGTTCCCGTGAGGCCCCGTCGCCCCAGCAGCTTTGTGAGTGGTACGCTGGGCGTAAGAGGTCTGGGGGTGCTGGTCCCTGCGCTTACGCTCTCCGCACCGCCGAGCGCCGTGGGGAGACGTGAGGGCTGTCACACGCGAAGAAGCGCTGTTTCGGTCGCCTGTCTGACGCCTGGCGTGCACACTTTTCTGACGCCACTAAGCTCCCTCGCTGGGCTAATCTGCTTAAATCTGGTGTTGCTATCTTTGATCTTGATTACGATGCTATCCTTGCTGCCATGCATGCTGCGACTATTAGTGTTGAGGGTGACTGTTACCCGTGTGTGCCGCCCGACCCAGGTATAGAGGCTGCTGCTCTAGGTGCTAGTGAGTCTGCTGCTCCAGGTACTAGTGAGTCTGCTCCCTCAGGTACTGCGTTTGCTGAGGCCTTGCACACCTTCACGCTTGACTCAAGTGCTTCCCGCTCCTTCTTTCGCGACAGCACCACACTCACACCGCTTAGTCGGCCGGTTGCTGTCTCCCTGGCGGACCCCTCTGGGGGCCCAGTCCTTGCGCACTCCTCTACGGTACTGCCGTGTTCGGCGGTCCCGTCTAACTCACTGTCAGGTCTTCACCTCCCCTCGTTCTCTACGAACTTGGTGAGTGGAGCTGACCTCCAAGACGTGTGGGTTGACCAGTTCACTCCTAGAGGTCAGCGGGTGACCCACTGTACCTGTACTCGGACGGGCTGCCACCTGGTCACATTCACCCGTCGCAATGGGTCGAGCCTGTACACACTGACTACTAAGACTCCTCCGGTTGCTGAGTCTGGTCAAGTAGCCGCGTTGGGTTAGGTGTTTGCTGCCGCGTCCAGGTCAGGTCCGGAGTCTGCCCCCTGCTCGTGTCGTCTCCTATCACACCAGACTCTCCTTTGGCACCACCGCCTTGGTCACCCCTCCCTGCCTCGTCTCCGAGGTATGGCCTCACGTGTCCTTGTCATTGGTCTCCCCCGGTCTCTCCCTCCCCTCCCCCCGGAGCCTGCCCCTACCTGCGTTCCTTGCGTCGAGGGACGGCAGCGCGCCGCTCTTCACTCCTCCAAGTTCCCTCCGACGGAGGCTCCTATGCAGACTCAAAGGAAATTAGAACGAGAATGAAATGACTATGGAATGAAAGTGATACAAATATGCAACCCTAGAAATGTGTACCCCATATGGGCTACCCCACTAAAGCCTAGACAACATTATAATTTGACACACCCCCATAGGCAAAGTGGGGGAGAACAAGGGGTCACAAGACTAGTCAAGCAAAGCAAAGCAAAGCTCAGGGTGGATCACAAAGTCACCACACATTCCGAGCACAAGTTCAAGGCCAGAAGGCCACTTCACATGCAGGAGCACATATGTATATATATATATATATAAGAGGCTAAGCAAACAAGAGCAAGTGTATATATATGTGACAGTACAAGCAAGGTCAAGAAGTGAGCAAGTGAGGCAAGACAGGCACAAGACCAAGCTGAGTACAGAAGCGCTGATGATCACAAGGCGCAAGTGCCTTGGTGAAAACATCAGCACTGTTGGCCTCAGAGGCCACGTATGCAAGCCGCAACTGACCACGCTGCTGTAGCTCACGAGCAAGGAAGTAGCGAAGAGCAATGTGCTTTGTTCTGTGCTCTAGTCTCTGCACTAGACACAAGGCCAGCATGGCCTTGTTGTCTACGTACAGGACTGGAGGAGAACGAGGCGGCTCTCCAAGGTCGGTCAGCAGGTAGGTGAGCCAGCGAAGCTCCTCTGCAGCCATGGCCCCGGCGTAGATCTCGGCCTCACAACTGGAGCCGAGAACAGAAGACGAGCGAGTAGCCCACCACGAAACAGAGCCGGAACCAAGGCTGAAGGTGTAACCATGTGACGACCGCTGCGTAGCCTGGTCGTCAGCCCAAGAAGCGTCCGCGTGCCCAGTGAGGACCACTGGACTCTGCCCTCCAAGCACTAGCCCCATGCCCGACGTACTGCACAAGTAGCGCAACACCCTCTTCGCTGCAGCCATGTGCTCTGGTCTGTGTCTCCCAGGAGCAACATAGCGTGCAAGAATGCTAAGAGGGTATGCAAGGTCAGGTCGTGTGCAGGTCATCAGGTACATGAGGCAGCCAACAAGCTCTGGGTACGGGCCACTCGACTCTACGGACTCATCCGAAGGCAGAGCTGAGAGCGAGTGGCGAGTAGACAGAGGAGTGGCCTGAGGCGAGGAGTACGTGAAGCCGAAGCGCTGAAGGACCTGCTGCACCATGTGTGACTGAGTCAGGGTAATGGTGCGGCGTGCTCTGTCCCGGGTGATCTGCAAGCCAAGGTAGCTGCGCAGTTCACCCAGGTCTGTGCACGTGTGTCTCTTCTGCAGCTCGGACTTCACGTGGGCGAGTCCAGCAGTGTCAGCAGTGGCAAAGACCAAGTCGTCGACGTACACGAGGATGTAGAACGGCGGCAAAGAGGTGTCGGTGCGTAGAAACAGCGACGGGTCAGCAGTAGAGGGAGCAAACCCAAGAGCCGCAAGCGTAGTCCTCAGTGTGTCGTGCCATTCGCGCGGTGCCTGGCGGAGACCGTAGACTGGCCGTCGGAGGCTCCACTGGGTGCTAGGAGGGAAAGTCCCAGTGAAGCCAGGTGGACGGCGCAGCCAGATCTCCTCGTGCAGGCTACCCTGCAGGAAAGCAGTGCTGAAGTCAAGGGAGTGAAGCTCGTAGTCACGCTGAGCGGCTATGTGTAGCAGCACCCAAAGAGTGGTCATCTTCGGGGTGGGAGAGAAGGTCTGAAAGTAGTCAACTCCCTGCCGCTGACTGAAGCCACGAGCCACGTACCGCGCCTTGAAGACAGGCGGAGAGCCCGTCGGCCGCTTCACCCTGAAGATCCACATGCCACTGACGATGTTCGCCCCAGGTGGGGGAACCGCGTCAACGTAGGTGCATGTGGACTTCCAGGAAGCCATCTCTGCATCCATAGCTGCCTGCCACTGAGAGGAGTAGGGACCCTCTACGGCCTCCGCGTAAGAGCGCGGAGTCGGGATGTCAAGTGCATCCGGGTCTCCCTCAGGGGTAAGCAGTACGGACACGAGATGAGGTGAAGCAGCAGCCAGACACTGGAACTCCTCCTGCCTGTCCTCAAGGACGTCCGTGCCAAGAGCACACTCACCCCCGACGGACGGAGGACAGACAGACGCAGACTCAGCAACGAGACTAGTTGCGTAGTCTAGGCGACAGCGAGCAGCAAAGTCGACGAGCTCAGCAGCAAGAGCAGACGCACCAGTGGACTCAAAAGAGGGGTCAGTGACGATAGTAGCAAGGAGACGCGTGACAGTAGGACTGGCAGCACGAAGAGAGTCCGACTCCGGGTCGGCAAGGGCAGGAAGAGAGGACTCAGGAGGAGAAGGCAAAGGGGCACGCAGAGGAGCAGTGGACGGACGCAGAGACATCCGGTGCGTGCCAGGGACAGGAGGAGGACGCTGACGCGAACCGCAACCACTAGCGCGAGCAGCATGAACCGGCGACGCAGGACGAGACGCAGGCTCACGACGCTCAGCAAGACCTCCAGTAGGACCAGTGTAGGGAGAAGGAGCAGGCAGTTGGGAGGCCGGCGGTAACTATGACTGTGACTGGACAGGCGGTGGACACTCTAAGGGAGGAGGAAGACCGAGAACCTGCTGAAGGAGCGGAACAAATTACGGCCGAGGCCGCGCGGCGACTCCAGACACAACAGGGACAGCACCAGCACCCCAAGTGGCAGCACCAGCGCCAACAGCACCTCCAGCTCCAGTACCTCCAGCGGCACCAGCAGCACCCGCAGCAGGACCGCCGCTAGGACTGACAGCAGTAGCCTCAGCGCCAACACCCTGAGCAGCTCCGACTCCAGTTGCACTCGCAGGCCCAGCAGCTCCAGCATTCCCACGGCTAGCACCTCTGAGACCGGCGGCACCTGCACCCTCAGCAGCCGAAGAAGCACTAGCTCCAGCAGTACGCCTCCAGCGCCGGGCAAACCACTCGCGCATCTCCTGTGGAGAGAGTGGCTCCTGCCGAGACGAAGCACCCGGAGAACCACCAGGCCCAGCACCGCCAGACGCCACACGAGCAGGTCCAGCGGCCGCGGGCTCCGCACCCCCAGGCTCAGCAGCTCCAGACTCAGTACCCTCAGGCTCAGCAGCTCCAGACGCAGCACCCCCAGGCTCAGCAGCTCCAGACACAGCACCCCCAGGCGAAGGACCCCCAAGCTCAGCACCCCCAGTCGTAGCACCCCCAGGCTCAGTACCCCCAGGCTCAGCACCCACTCGCGTAGCACCCCCATAGTCAGCACCCCCAGGCTCAGCACCCGCAGCAGTACCAGAGTCACCAGCAACCTCGACCGGCTCGACTGCGTCTACCTGGGACACACCTGAAGGGGCAGGACCCTGAGGGGGGAAGGGGTCTACCTTGGGGGGACCTGGCATAAGGAAGTGCGGCGGCGGGGGGAGGGAAGGAGTGCGGTAGGGGAAGAGACGGTAGTAGGGGACCGACTCGTGAAACGTGACGTCCTGGGAGGACAGAACACGACGAGAGGAGGGGTGGTAAAACTGCAACCCTGGTGCGTCAGGGGGGAAGCCAAGGAAGACACAAGGAGCAGCACGAGGGGACAGTTTGTCCGCAGACAAGTCGCGGACAAACGCCCGAGATCCCCAGACACGGAACGCAGACGCATCGCCTACCTTCCCCGTCCACAGCAGAGCTGGGGAGGTCTCCGGCATGGAGACCCTGGGGTAAAGGTTGATCTGATGCGCCGCGTACCGAACCGCAAACGGCCACAGAAAATGAGGGGCAGCCGCATGCATCATGGACGTACGAGCGACGTCCATGACCATGCCAATGCGGCGCTAAGCAATCCCATTTTGCTGTGGAGAGTCCGGAAGCGTAAAGGTCTGGCGGATGCCTCGCGCACGGCAGTAGGCTCGCAGAAGGCCAGAGGAGAACTCTCCGCCTCGGTCAGAGTGCAGACGCAGAACAGAAAAGTCCGAGCCGAAGCTCCTCCTGAGCTGGAGACGAGCTGCGCGGATCCAGTCGATCAACACCTCAGTGACATCACCCTTGCTGCGCAAGGGGAAGACTAAGGTGTAACGCGAGTAGTCGTCAACCACCAGCAGGAAGTAGCGCTCGTGACCCTGTCCACGGACGCGGGCCGGGCCCCACACATCCATGTGAAGCGTCTGCAGCGGGGCCTCTGTCGGGGGAAACTGAGAGGAGTGAGGGGCAGCCCGGAGCCGCCCCTCGACACAGGGAATACAGGAAGGACCAGGCCCTGGAGGAAGGGGAGGGAGGGACCGGGGGAGACCAGAGACAAGGACACGGGAAGCCATGCCTCGGAGACGAGGCAGGGAGGGGTGACCAAGACGGTGGTGCCACAGGAGAGTCTCGTGAGACAGGAGGCGACACGAGCAGGGGGCAGACTCAGGACCAGACTTGGACGCTGCAGCAAACACCTGACCCGGCGCAGCTACCTGGCTAGACGCAGGGACAGGAGGAGACCCAGTGGTCAGGGTGTAGAGGCTCGACCCCGGCCGACGCGTAAACGTGGCCAGGTGCCGGCCTGTGCGAGCGTTCGAGCAGTGGGTCACCCGCTGACTCGCAGGAGTAAATTGGTGAACCCCCGTATCCTGAAGGTCACCACCACTCACCAAGTTCGTAGAGAACGAGGGGAGGTAAAGACCAGACAAGGTGCCAGAGGGGGCAGCCGGACACGGGAGGACAGTGGAGAAGTGAGAGAGGACAGGGCCCCCAGAGGGGTCTGCCAGGGAGACTGCAACCGGCCGACCAAGCGGCGTGAGTGTGGTGCGGTCTCGAAAG